ACTTTCCCTGTACATTGCCAAATTTTGAAGGGTGCAAAGGTGCAACTTTTCAGGGTAGGAAAGAGAATCTGTATAGTTTCTTATTCACACTTCCGAAAGTTGCACCTTTGCACCCCGGTTTTTCTCTATCTATTTTTTAGACGCAAAATAACAGAAATTGACCGCGCTGTTATTCCATCCGAAGTGGTTAGACTGGAACCTTATCCGCCACAATTTCTCAAATTTGGGCACATTCCCCTGCACCCCTCCAAACAATGATGGAGAAAAATAAGGTAATGATTCTTTGCAGCATCTGCACTTTGATCTTTGTTTCGGGGGGGAAGGGGGGATGCCGGGCCTGTCACATGCACTTGTGCCAGCTCAGGAGTCCAAGAGGTGCTCGTTTGGACGGCTTCTACTTCTGCCTGTGATTCAGAAGGGTCTATTTTTGGGCCCGAAAAAGTCAAGAAAAATTAGACACGCAAATACGGGCCTCCCCAGTCCAAGATTCCTGCCACGGATGCTGTTTGTGTTAAAGTAGCTTCAAGCTTGACATTTTGCGCACATAGCAGCTTGCAAAGCTTCAGCACATCTGACAAAATGAAGGGACCAAAAACAGGCCCGCCAGGAGGGACCACTTTCGATCCTAAGAGGGTCCACTTTTGGGTCCCTTCTGAAATATATTTGCTTTGCGCAAGGGTCCAAAACTGGGCCCTCAGCATTCTGAATCTGGTGCCTCCCTGGCCCCCTGGGGGCTTGTTTGACGCCCCATTCAAATACTCTCTTGAGGCGCGTTGTTGGAATCAGGCGACAAACATCAGCGTCACACATCATAGCAACTACGAGTTGGCAACCAGGGCCTCGAACAAGGGAGGCCCCCACCGTGTCTCCAAAAAGTCTACTGATTTCAGGTGCTAAAAACGAACCCTCTGGACATGGCGAGGTGCTACTCCTAAAGTGACAGAAAGATCAGCCATGTGGAAACACTTTCCCTGTACATTGCCAAATTTTGAAGGGTGCAAAGGTGCAACTTTTTCAGGCTAGGAAACAGAACCTTTATAGTTTCTTATTCACACTTTCGAAAGTTGCACCTTTGCACCCTGGTTTTTCTCTATCTATTTTGCAAAATAACAGAAATTGACCGCGCTGTTATTCCATCCGAAATGGTTAGACTGGAACCTTATCCGCCACAATTTCTCAAATTTGGGCACGTTCCCCCGCACCCCTCCAAACAATGATTGAGAAAAATAAGATAATGATTCTTTGCAGCATCTGCACTTTGATCTTTGTTTCGGGCGGGAAGGGGGGATGCCGGGCCTGTCACATGCACTTGTGCCAGCTCAGGAGTCCAAGAGGTGGTCGTTTGGACGGCTTTTGCTTCTGCCTGTCATTCAGAAGGGTCTATTTTTGGGCCCGAAAAAGGCAAGAAAAATTAGACACGCAAATACGGGCCTCCCCAGTTCAAGATTCCCCCCACGGATGCTGTTTGTGCTAAAGTAGCTTCAAGCTTGACATTTTGCGCACATAGCAGCTTGCAAAGCTTCAGCACATCTGACAAAATGAAGGGACCAAAAACAGGCCCGCCAGGAGGGACCACTTTCGATCCTAAGAGGGTGCACTTTTGGGTCCCTTCTGAAATATATTTGCTTTGCGCAAGGGTCCAAAACTGGGCCCTCAGCATTCTGAATCTGGTGCCTCCCTGGGGGCTTGTTTGACGCCCCATTCAAATGCTTTCTTGAGGCGGGTTGTTGGAATCAGGCCACAAACATCAGCGTCACACATCATAGCAACTACGAGTTGGCAACCAGGGCCTCGAACAGTTCAAGATTCCTGCCACGGATGCTGTTTGTGTAAAAGTAGCTTCAAGCTTGACATTTTGCGCACATAGCAGCTTGCAAAGCTTCAGCACATCTGACAAAATGAAGGGACCAAAAACAGGCCCGCCAGGAGGGACCACTTTCGATCCTAAGAGGGTCCACTTTTGAGTCCCTTCTGAAATATATTTGCTTTGCGCAAGGGTCCAAAACTGGGCCCTCAGCATTCTGAATCTGGTGCCTCCCTGGCCCCCTGGGGGCTTGTTTGACGCCCCATTCAAATACTCTCTTGAGGCGCGTTGTTGGAATCAGGCGACAAACATCAGCGTCACACATCATAGCAACTACGAGTTGGCAACCAGGGCCTCTTATTTCAAAACTTGTGGCTGCTACCTACTCATGTCCCACCCCCACGTGTATACGCCGCAAACCAAAGGGATAAACGCCAAACTGAACCAAGGGTGGCGGGGAAAATGCCAAACTGAACCAGTCGAAAACCCTCAATGCAAAATCGGCTGTAAACAAAAACGCATCCACAAAAGTTCCATCACTGCTGACGATTGAAGAACACACAGCGGCCCTTTTCCAACGGTGACATGGGGGATCGATAAATCCTGTATGTCCAATGGGCTGCCAACTCAGCCACCAGCTTCACTGATCCAGTCAAGCTTTGCAAAAATGTCAAGCTGAAGAAAACTGTCCCACACATGACCAGATGCCCTCTCGCAGCTTGTAAGTCAAAGAAATCACTGTTCAATATCTCCCAGTAGCACAAGGTGAAAAATCTTCGTCCAAACCGGCGAGATCACTGTATAACACAGGTGCTATTGTCAAGAAGTTGACAGAAAAGAACATATAGTTCAAGCATGAGTTCGACAAGAGTAGAGGCACTTTGCAAAGGCTGCCTCAAAAGTTGTAGCTGTACCAAGTTGTTGTTTTGCCAAGGGTGAGGAGGGTGGGGGCAAAACAACCTCAATTTAAGAGGTGTCCCACCACCCACCCTCAGCCAAATTCCACGAGGATATCATTCATTGAATGTTCATGTATGTTCCATGTAAACGAAGTGCACTTTCGAAACTGTCAAGAATGTCAGAACTGAACCTGTACCTGTGAGTACCTTTTCCACTGAATTGCAGCGACACTGAAAAAGTGATTTGCAAAATAAACAGCATTTGTTTTCTGTTTGTTGTTGGCCCTTGGTTCAGTGCACGTGAGTAAGGAGTGTTTGACAAAACAGACAAAAGAAGATAGCAGCACGAAACTTTGTTTCTCACAAGTTTTGAAATAAGGAGCTATCAACAAGTTGACCGCTTACTTATTTCAAAACTTGTGGCTGCTACCTACTCATGTCCCACCCCCACGTGTATACGCCGCAAACCAAAGGGATAAACGCCAAACTGAACCAAGGGTGGCGGGGAAAATGCCAAACTGAACCAGTCGAAAACCCTCAATGCAAAATCGGCTGTAAACAAAAACGCATCCACAAAAGTTCCATCACTGCTGACGATTGAAGAACACACAGCGGCCCTTTTCCAACGGTGACATGGGGGATCGATAAATCCTGTATGTCCAATGGGCTGCCAACTCAGCCACCAGCTTCACTGATCCAGTCAAGCTTTGCAAAAATGTCAAGCTGAAGAAAACTGTCCCACACATGGCCAGATGCCCTCTCGCAGCTTGTAAGTCAAAGAAATCACTGTTCAATATCTCCCCTCTTAACCGATGATTCCAAAAGTATCTTGATGATATCCTGAAGTTCAGTCTCAGGAATTTTACACTCAGCTCCAGATTCTATCAAATACTGGACAACTCCTCGTGAAGGGTCATCTGCTATATTCGATGGTGTGGGTACACGGGTGTACCATGGTGTTACGTTTGTAGCCATTTCGAGCTTCAGGAGGAACTCTACCAAAATGCTTGCAACGCAGTTTCTGCCACATCCTGAAATTGCCACATCCCTTGCAGAGTTGTTATCCACAAAACAAATAACACTCGAAGATCCAATGACTGACCTCCAGACAGAAAAAGCCAGTACCATGGCCAACAGTTCCGCTTCAAAGATGATGGTCTTTTTGAACTCAGCACCCAACGCACGCCTTTGTTCTGTTGACAATTCCATTGAAAAGAACGCCGCCTTTTCACCAAGCGGATTCACAAGCACCCCACCCAGACCACATACCCAGTTGGTCCGTTGAGGCTCATAGCATGCATCGGTGTAAATGGTCCAAACAGAGTCGGATGCCAATTCCAAACTTCGAGGCTCTGCATGGTTAAGAAAAATCACAAATCTTCTCAAGGCGTCAACCGTTGGTTTCTCAAGTTTATCACCCCGACCTTTAAAAGCATGTTGCGTTATGGCCTTCATGCACAACTTTCCCAAACGACCAAAAACTTGTCCATCTGCAAACTGCATTCTCCCTCTAAGCTTTTGCGATTCCAAAACAGTCATCCGACCCTTCCTGATGATATCCTCTATGGCGCTGGTCAGTTCTGCAATGCGTTTCTCTGTGTTGATGAATCTGATTTTTCCCAAGTTCGCATTCTCCAAATTGAGGCGCACACCCAGCGCTGAAAAATCATCACCAAAGCATGTCGCTTTCTCACCCTCTTCTGCAAATTTCCACCCTAGTAGTCTGAACAAGAGTTCAACAGTGGCTTCCGTACTTTTGACATGGAGCTTCTGAGAGAAAACCACATAGTCGTCGAAAAACACACTCCACATGATTTTCAGAGCTTTGACACCAGTGAACCAAATGGCATGTGAGATGATACAGCTCAGCCCTTTTCTTATAGGGGTTATATATGGCTACAAAGGCAAACTGCAAGGAGGACTCAGCGATTGCAAGTTGCTTATAAGCGCTTTTTAAATCGAAGGACCTGCCTTGGATTTGTGCTCCTCCGCTACTTTTCAGAATCGTCAACAGCAGTGCAGCCACGAAGTCGATTGATTGCGGCTTGGGTGATTCTGCACATTGCACCGTCTGGTTGACATTGCTAGCCGACAAGTCATCTATCAAGCGTATCTTCCCGGGTTGTCGGAGTCCAAAACGTCGGCTTACAATTGCGTCAGCTGGCAGGTTCGCTATCTCAATGGGGCCGGATGCCCATCCAAGCTCGACTTCCTCTTGGGTCTTCTTCCAAACAAGTTCATCTATCTCTTTGTCCCCTGACGACCTGCAGCTATAATAGTGCTTCTGCTTGATCGATTTCGCCTCCTTGCACAAACTGTCCACCGTTGTTTCTGCTGGCTTGAAAGTTTTCTCAAAGATGCCATAGGTGGGAACTTCCCCTACAAGCTCAGTACCGTTCGTCAATTCTGACACCACATCTGCATCTGGATATCCCAAATCCAACAAAATTTCTTTCCAGAGAAGCAGCCGCTTTGGCTTCAAAATATTTGCTATGTGTGCAGGCATGCTCGCTTTCATCTCCATCTCTGCTGGTTGAAGCTCCTTTGCCCTGGCTGTCCATTTGCTAAACCAGTCGGCCCTCAGCTTCGGCAAGTAGCCCAGATCCTCGTTTTGAAAGTTGTGAAAAACAGCCTCCATCAGCACTGGGGGTACCAACGTCGAAATTAGTTTTGGATGTCCTCTGCTCACAGCTTCTTGTATGAATTCTTCAGGAGAAAAAGGAATACCCCAAGCTTGTTCCATACAGTTGGAAAATGCTGATGACTGTGACGCAATACCCCCCATTGACCGCAGTGGTGTGACCCTTAACAGCTGTGCCCCTTCTGGTAGGACTCGCAACGCAGCATCACACTCAGTTGGGATATGTAAAGAGGATTTCAATCGTTGCATTGGTTCCACCGGCATGTCATTGAGTACATGTGCTGGGCCTCGCACGACTACCACCTGCTTGTGTTCACGCACCACTGGAGGAATGCGAGAGGCTTTCGGCTGCGCAGTGGCTACTGCTCTCATGGTTTTTAAATTGATGTCATGTGACTGCAGCTGAAAACATTCATGCGGTGGACTCCACCCATGACTTACCAGAATGTCAGCGAAAGCTTTGGCAATTGCTCTTGCTAGGCCTCTCGGATAAGCAGCTTCTTCGCTGGTCGAAAAGTGCGTTCCCTGTGTAGATTGCACTATTCCCCAAGGCTTGTGTATGTGGGAAGGTGACTCACCTAAACAACACAGGTTGATGTGACTGAAACGTTGATGGTTCCAAGCTAGCACTGTCCACTTCGGCCTGTCACCACCGTATGCGCATGCTTGATGGGATGTATAATTGAAATGCTTTGCAACTGATTTCCAAAATCTCGTCAACCAGAAAAGTGAAGACCGTGGATTTTCGACAACGACAATGAGCCCCCTGGCCAGAGCTTCCTGGATCGCCTCGGACAAAAATTCGTACAGCCTGTTTGCCGCAGAAACTCTGCGACGATCCTTACCTCTCAAACCAGTTAAACCCTCTGGAAATTCATGCGATCTCAACGGCACTGGTCCTGGGATTTTCCTGCCAAACGAGTCCCGAAGTTGAATGTTTCTGGCCAGTGAACACGTACCGCATGGGGGTGCCCAAAATATGCCAACAACAAGAGGGGATTTCATCCACTGCTTGAAAATGTGTTGATCCCTGCTAAGTGTCAAATCCAATTTCTTCACAGTTGCAATCGCCTTGTCAACATCGTGATCAACGCCGAAGGATTCAACCAAACCAAGCTCCTTCAGACTGGCTGTGACCCTTGCACTCCCGCAGAATACCTCTATTATGACAGGGCAAGCAATTTGCTCTTCAGAAAAAGAAAAATTGTTCTGAATGAAATGACTTCGCACTCCATCTGCACCAAATTGTTCAAAACTACCACTTCCACTTTCAGTCTGTTGCTGATGCACAAAGGGCTGAGCCGCCTCACAAGAATTCTCTGGGTCTCGGAGAACTGCGGAAAATTGTTTATCTCTGCCAACACGCTCACTGCATGGATTATGGGCTGACGAGGAGACACCCTGAGAATCTGCTGGATTGTCATGAACAAAATTTGGAACTTCCATGTCAACATCGCAAGAAGACTTACCACCTGATGCTTTTGCACTATCAGTTGATAAATCTGAGGTTTCGGCTTGTGCATGTAGTCAATTACCATGCTGCAAAATACTGTGAGAGGCGTAACATTTGGAGCAAATGTGCAACCCTCTGCGGCACTTGGCTCCGTCAGCAGCTTCGGAGCAACCACCTTCCGAATTGAATCCAAAACAAATGGGCTCCCCCTCTGGGTTGGAGGCAGTTCCTCCCAGCTTGAATATGTGAGATGGCACACGCTGTTTGGATTTGCCACCTTTCTTGCCTCCTTTCTGTTTCAACCAAGGTTTCTGTGTGGTGGCCCCTGCTCCCTTTCCGCTCGACCAAGGCTGCTGCGGTTTGTTCTTCTTCTGGATGTTCCCTGGACCTTCCTTTTTGGCAATCAAAGGAAGCAGACTGAATGAAACTCGATAGCTCTCCAAAGTGCTGAGCAACTTGGTGTCCAATGCCAACACACCTGCATCATCTCTCTTTGGTTGCACCCCTTCCTCCAACAAAGCCTGCCACACCAGTTTGTCGGCGGCCACGATCTGACTCACTGAGCACCGGCTATACCCTGCAGGGGGTTCCCTGTGCAAATGAGAGAACAACGTAGTGAGGTACCTGGTATAATTTGCATGTTGAACCAGGTCCGCGAAGACCAGGGCCAAGCCTCTGCGCTGCAGAGACTCTTGGACTTGCAACGCTGAAGATACAAACATGTCCTGGACTTCGGCCTTTTCCTTAATGATCAAACTCTCCGATGAGATATCCAGCATCTTTGACGGGCTCTTCTGCGTCAACACTTCATGTGTCCTGCTAACTGATTTTTCAGGAGGGAGGTAACGAATTTCATTTTGTTGATACATACTTGCCGCAAGATCAAGTAGTGAATGTCCCGGTTCAAGTGGGCCTTCGATGAGCAACCCGTTCAATTTGTTTTTCAAAGACCTCATTTTGGTCTCACGCTCAGCATTGGGCACCTTCTTGATGGATGAACTGTCAGGGGCATTCACAGAATCCTGCAAGGCGGCAAGAACCATGGTCTGTGACTCGAATAAAAGCCTCTTGGCACCTGCGATGTCAGCGACACTCGCACCTGTCAAAATGTTTGAAGTAAGCCATGTCTCAAAAGCTGAGTCCACAATGTTCTGACCCGGCTGTCCATGTGCGTAAGCCAGTGTTCCAAACGTTTGTAAGTTTGCAGCCTTAAGACTCCTCTTCAGTTCATCAGATAGTTTGAGATCCAAAGTCCTCTGAATGAATTGTGCTTCAGAATCCAGGAGGGACGCCATTGAGTCCAGCCGAGGAATCAACTATGGAGACCTGCAAACAGTGAAACAAATTGCGAACCCAAGCGTTTGACACCCATTAACCTCAGATTGCAAGCTCGAACAAATGAATTGTTCCATTCACACGTCCTTTAAAGCACATGTTGAAAATATGCCAAGCAAATAAAAGTGCCATGCATGTGATATGAAAACCTGATGTCAATTAATCCTGTCATGCATCTCCGAGCCAATGCATCAAGAGACCAAGGATGCCATGCAATCCTGAATGAACAAACCAAAGCAAGTCTGCCACGCAATTCCATGAGATGCCATGCATCCGTGCTTGGGTGCTTTACCCACTCACCTCACCATGTGAGAGACACAACGCACTTGTTTTAAACTGGCGGCAGCACTCCGTCTTTGACTGCATTCACCTTGCATCTTCTACAAAGTGCTACTGTGTCGAAATGTACGACAATGTCATAGTTTGAGTTCAGCACCCGGCCGCATGACAAGACGGCTTTGCCAACAGCTTTCGATTCACCCACCACAGAGTCCTTATAGTGGACCAACTTCGATGTCTTGTGGCTCACAAAGCGGCCCGCCAAATGGTCCTTGGCCGTGTGCCTATAACACTTAGGTGGAGGCGGTCTTACCTCCTCATCTGAGCTTGATGACTCCTCAGATGAAGAGCCACTTGAACTCTGGTGGTCAGAGATGGTCTCTTTGTCCATTTCTTTCTCACTCTCAACGACCTCCTGGGCAGGTGAATCCTCTTCGACCTTCACCACCTCAATGGCACCTGGCTCTGCGCAAGGTGCGTTTTCCTCAGCAAAGTACCCCCTGCGGGGATTGTCCGGTTGAAACTCCAAGCGCGAAATCCGCAAAATGATGTCTTGCAGTTTCATCACAGATGCCACCGAGAGGTCACGCGAATAGATCGCATGGGCTTCTGTGGTCGCGCTGGCATGTCTTCCCAAAATTGCTTTGTCGGGAATGGGCAATCCAAATTTTGAGGCCCATGACAGTGCAGTAGCTTTGAGACTATGCGACGACACCCGAGGCCCATCAACATTGTTATCATTGCACTCAAAAAGGAGTCTCAAAAACTTGGTGACCTCTGACGAAGTCAAGCCCCGTTTGCATAGCCCTCCACCGGCCGCCATGGGGGGCCTAAAGAGCGGTCCCTGGATCGAGCCGTCCAGGTTCAAACCACAAGCTGCAAAAGCTTCAATGGCCTCCTGCACCCAAACCTGACCAGTCACTCCAATTGCCGGTATGACTATTGGAAGTAACTGGGATTTCTGGGTTGCACTCTTGGCTGTTTTGTGCAACCTTGTTGACACTTCCACGAAGCCACCTTTCCAGTCAAAATCGTGCATCACACACTCTACAAACGCCAGGTCACTGTGTCGACATCTGCCGTACAGGGCCAAAAGAGCATAGGCTGCAAGCGCCCTGTCAATGAAATTAGCCACCTTGTTCTCCAGTAAATTGTGCAATGCAACAACCTGTGCAACTGAAAGAACCTTTGCCTGTTTGAGTGGGTTTTTTCCAGAGTGCATGATCTCTGCAAGCCCTCTCACTCTCCTGCTGTTGTACACGCAGTCAAAATCTTTGAATCCAAAAACATGCAACGCATATCCACAAGCAGCCAAAAAAACTTGAAGCCCTTGTGGGTGCAGCCCCATCTGCTCTGAGCTTTGCAACATAGCTCCATGCGGCTTGCTCGGTCACCGGCTTGCCGTCATCCTCAGTGAAGTCTGCTCTCCACCTGAAAAATTTCAGC